GTCGCCGGTGAGACGCAAGTCCAGGAAGAACGGAATAAGGTAGAAACACATTTTTTTTCCTGATGAAAGAAGAGAGTCTACTCTTTCTTTTGGTGTGATCGGTGTTTACATAGTCATAGCACAAACTATTCTGTGGCTCTTGAAAAATCAGTCAAAAAACTCTGGCAGTATGGGACTCTGTTCTGAAAATGGCTGGCAGTCAATGAGTTAAGTACCAAAAATTCCCCATCTAATCTGAAGAAGCATGTCAAGGTAAGTTAAAAATACAATGACATAAGCTAGTAAATAAGCGCTAGTTCAGTTCTCCCTGTTCACTCAGGACGTAGCAGCTAACGTCAGCTAAAGCTAACCTAGCTGGCTAGGTCATTTCACTATTTTTAAATTAATGTCTATATTGCCATGAAGCAATTAGGATCTTCTTTACCAGGGATCTTCCTATTGGTGACCTAATCAAAATGGCCGACTGGGCTGTGGGCGGGGTTGGATATCCATCCTTGGCTACAGGTGTCCTCTCAACTTGGCGATGGCGAGGTTTCACTATTTTTAAATTAACGTCTATATTGCCATGAAGCAATTAGGATCTTCTTTACCAGGGATCTTCCTATTGGTGACCTGATCAAAATGGCCGCCTTTCCCCTCACCTTGGCGATGGCGAGGTGCTGCTCGTGGCTCTGCACGGCGTTGGGGAAGTCTCCCAGGGCCGTGTAGACGGCGCCCATGTTTCCCCGCTGGCGGGCCTCGGCCCTGACCTTAAACCTAACCCTGACCCTAACCTTGACCCTAACTCTAACCCTAACTCTAACCCTAACTCTAACCCTAACTCTAACCCTAACTCTAACCCTAACTCTAACCCTAACTCTAACCCTCCACGCTTCATAATTGTGAGAAATAAATATTTTTTGGTTAAACTTGTTTGGACTTATGTTTGGTCTATATTGCCATGAAGCCATTACGATCTTCTTTGCCTGGGATCTTCCTATTGGTGACCTAATCAAAATGGCCGACTGGGCTGTGGGCGGGGTTGGACCTCCATAGTTTCTCTATTACCTTGGCGATGGCGAGGTTTCACTATTCTTAAATGAATGTCTATATTGCCATGAAGCCATTATGATCTTCTTTACCAGGGATCTTCCTATTGGTGACCTGATCAAAATGGCCGCCTTTCCCCTCACCTTGGCGATGGCGAGGTGCTGCTCGTGGCTCTGCACGGCGTTGGGGAAGTCTCCCAGGGCCGTGTAGACGGCGCCCATGTTTCCCCGCTGGCGGGCCTCGTCCCTGACCTTAAACCTAACCCTGACCCTGATCCTAACCCTAACTCTAACCCTAACTCTAACCCTAACTCTAACCCTAACCCTGACCCTAACCCTGACCCTAACCCTAAACCTAACCCTAACCCTAACTCTAACCCTCCACCCTTCATAATTGTGAGAAATAAATATTTTTTGGTTAAACTTGTTTGGACTTATTGTACAAACCTATCTAACATCCACTATTTTAACATAACATTATGGATAGAGTTTAATTCAGTGTTTGCAAGATGAATTTCAATATTTTTAAATTAATGTCTATATTGACTATATACTATATAGTATATTGCCATGAAGCAATTAGGATTTTCTCTCCTGGGATCTTCCTA